GTTAATGTGACATTCTTTGTCCTATGTATTTGTTTATTCTGTTGGACAGAAAGTCAATCTGATTCAAAATTCACTCAACGGCATCTAACAACAACAGTGTATGTAGATAGGGTGTTTTTTTTTTTCCAGGAAATAAATGTTTTAAACACATGAAGAACAGCTAAGTAATGACACATAACTTTTTGGAAAAAAATTGAAGAACTGGTTATGTAAATTTTATGTTAATGGAACTTTATTAAGGTATAATTTGCCTACAGTAAAAATGCATGAAAATTAAGCATATGCTACATCCACCAAAATCAAGAAAATGTTTTTATCACACTTGAAAACTCATGTACCCAATCATTGAACCCATTCTGAGGCACTTACCGTTCTGATTTTTATTACCATAAAATTGTGTCTGTTCTTTAGATTCATGTAAATGGAATCTTGCAGTACCTTTTCTTTTGAGGCTGCTTTTGTTTATCAAATTGTTTTTCAGTTTTTTCTGTTTTGCTTCATACATGATTCTATTCTTTTGAAAATAGTGATTAGAATATCATTGCTTGAATATATTATGATTGATAAATCCTATCCCTTTAAAATATTATTAGCTCCAAAACTAAAAGTAATACATTGAAATTTTAAATTTTTTTCTCAAGAAAAAAGTTGATAAATTATTTACTTGTTCAAACTTAATGTTGTTATTTTTAGGTGCCATCATGTCACCTGTGACTCAGTAGCAACCCTGTGTACAGCAGTTCTGAGCCTGCCCTGTCCTGAGCCAGTCTCACTGACTCTGACACACCTACCCCAACTGCCCCAGTTACTATATCAATCCATCTCATCTGGGGTCTTCCTCTCCTGCACTGTCCCTCATCCTTCTGGGCATGATGTCCTCTCAGAACTTGAGTCTCCTGGCCACATGCCCAAAGCATGTGAATTAGAGATTCGAAATCCTAGCCTCCAGTGGGAAACTTGGTTTCACCCTCTCCAAGACAGACCTATTTGTTTTCTTGTTGGTCCATGGTATGTTCAGGACTCTTTTCCAGCACCACAACTCAAAGGCATAAATTAATAGATGATGTTTTTATAAATTAGAATATTAGAGAGATGATGTTTTTGTTTCATAAGCTGCCATGAAATCTGTATAGAATATTTTAAAATTAAATTTCGTTTGATCATATATTAACAGTAGTGGCAATAGCAGTAATTACTATTCTATGAATGATGTTGCTATTGTTAAGTGTCACTGAATTGACTATAACTCATATAGACTATAAATAACAGAATAATGTATCGCTAAGTACTAAATTTCTTTGGTGCATTAAATGCTGCTTTGGGGATTTTCTTCACCATCTCTATGTGTTGGTAGAAAGATACTGACTTTTGCAAGACAAAAATGCATATTGTCCAACATCCATTTAAGAACTATCAGATCATTTTCCACAATGGCATGTTTCTCTATTGACATCTGGATAACTCGATGGTAAGGTGTATTAGCCATGTAGTGCTTTAAATTTTTTCATTTTCCAACTTGTTCATTCCCATGGACACATCTTGGATCTTGCCATCTATCAGATATCAGCTCTGTTATCTCAATTTAAGAGAGCTCTGGTGGCTTAGTGGTAAGAAATTATGCTGGAATCCCACAGGCATGTGGTTTGAATTCACCAGCTGCTCCATGAGAAGAATGGGCAATCTTCTGCCATGTGGCTTACTGTCTCAGAAAACCTGTGGGAGGGTCAGCTATAGGTCAGTTCCAACTCGATGGTATACAACACTAACAGTTAATTTAAAGCATCTCACTTTGCCTTTGAAGTATGTAGAACATTTCAGTGCAAGGAAAACAAATGTCTTCTTGTTTACTTTTTAATAAAAATACAAACATTCGATTAATGCATTATTTTTGGAGATTATATCTTCAAAAATAGCAACACGCACTGATAGTAATGTTGTTAATATTTGCTCTAAGTCCGTTGGTGACCTCATGTGTAACAAAAGAAAATATTGCTTGGTGATGGGCAATCTTCACAATGGTTAATATATATAAGTGGATTGTTACAGCCACTGTATCAGTCACTGAAGGTTTCTCTCCTTTCTGTTGCCATCCTTTACAAACATGATTTCTCTTTCTAGTGTTTCGTCTTTCCTGAGTATGTGTCCAAATTACATAACCCCCCATCTTGCCATGGTTGTTTCTAAGGAACATCTGCATGAAGTGATATTGTGGTGTTGTTCCTGCCTTTTGTGAGTCACCCAGCAGCTCTTAGTGACTCCATGTATGACAGAACAAAATCCTGTCCAGTCCTGCACCATGCCCAGGATTAATCGTGACTGTATTTTCATTTACTGCATTTTGGAAACAGATTCCCAGGTCTGCCTGTTCAGCATTATAGCAAAACTCAAGCCTCCATACCTAGCAAAGAGGTGGTGGTTGTGCATGGAGTATATATGCCAGGAACTGACCCTGAGTCTCCCTCATGGAAGGCAAGAATGCTGCCATTGAATCTGTAGTGCCCCTTTCCCACTCCTCTACTTTCATACTAATAGTTCACACTGTTCATTGGGTGGACAACTTTACTCCACAGAAATCATGTGTTAAAAATTATCTGCAGAACAGAGAAGTATAGTATAGTATTGAGAAAATCTTACTTCTCTCTGGAGCAAAAACTGTTGGGCAGTGGAAGCCGCTGTGCCTAGTGGGCAGTGGCTGATTCCCCGGAGGAGGCGCTATCATGGCTCAGTCAGAGCTGGCAGTGAGCCTCCACTTGGCTACTGCTTTATGGCACAGTATCTACAAACACAAATGAAAATGAAGTTCATTTGTAGTTGAAACACAGTGTCAAATGGCTAACAAAGCCCCTGCCTTTTTTTTTAAATTATCTTTGTGTGTGTGTGTGTGTGTGTGTGTGTGTGTGTGTGTGTGTGTGTGTACGCGCGCGCGCACCGTCAAATCGGATCTGACTGGTACAGGAGATTACATCTCCTTCTCCAGCAGAGTACCTGGTGGATTTGAACTGTGTATCTATGGGATTGCAGTGCAGTTTCTTGGCACTAGGCCACCAGAGCTCCCTAGCCCCTGCCTTTTAATGGACTCCAAAAGTAGCATAAAACAGTTTTAAACCAAAACATATCTGTCCATGATTTGTCTGGTTTTGTCCTCCATTTTTCCTTCCATGTCAAAACAAAAGAAACTCATATAATTTCATTTTTAATGCAATTTTCCAGGGTGTTAAAGATGTCTTTACATACAATAAAATGGTTCCTACAGTAATAGTGTATTTTATAGTTTATCATGTCTGTTTTGCCATGGTTATTTTCTATATACCATTGGTAGTGTAACCTTTAAATAAAAGGTATAGAAATTCATTCTCCAACGTGTTACATAGTGTGTACTATATATGGAATAGCTTGAAGTAATCAGAGCTTGTATTGCATACACCAACATGGTATGAAGAATATATTTTGACCATCACCTATCAGATATCTTTTAAAGCATGAATTTTTCTTATTTCAAAATATATGTGTAGTAATTTCTTCCAAGAAACATAAAAATGTTATTGACTTAAATGACAACTCATCTATCATAGTCTATCATCCTCTATCATATGGCAAAGAGGACTGGGGGAGGGAGAAATTGTGCAACAATGAATGTTTTTAAAAAAGTGAACTGAGGTAGGGATACAGAGGGAGAGGGGGTAAAGTGTGCAACAATGATTGAATGAAAAGCTAACTCTTGTAAACTTTTGTTAAAATCACAATTAAAATTTTCTTTTTTAAAAATGGCAACTATTCTACCTATAAAAGGGGATTCAAATCCCCCTTCATAAGACTTACATTGTAAATACACTGGATAGCAAATCAGACGACAGCATGGGCAGGAAGGATCCCTGGTGGCACAGGTGGTTATGAGTTGTGCTGCTAATGGAAAGTGCACTGGTTTTAAGCCACCAGCTTCTTTGTGTGGGAGAAAGACCGACAAGTTCTTCTCGTAAAGATTTACAGCCTCAGAAACTGATAGAGGGTCACTGTGAGTCGACATCAATATGACAGCAGGGGCTATCGGTTTTGGCTTGGTCTCATATGGTCATTTAAACACCAGTCTCATCGGTAAACCACAGGAGTCATAACACCTGCTTGTTTAGTTGACTTCCTTTTAATAATTGGAGGAGTACTGTGTGATCTAGAAAACATGTATAAAGGTTAAGTGGTTCCCCCAGGGGTAAACCAGTTATCTAAGCACTAATGGAAAACAGCCTCTCTTTAGGCATTCGTTCCCCTTTCATAGGAACCAGGCATTCTTGTCTCAAGATTCAGGGGTTACATTTGCAAGCATACTGATTTTCTTAGGGATCTAGAGCTGCTGTAAGAGAAATACTAGAAGTGAGTGATTCTGGTAAACAGAAATTTATTTTCTCAAAGTTAGGGAGTTAGAATTCCAGATTTGGGGTGACAGCTCGGAAGTGTTTCTCTTTCTGCCAGCTCTGGAGGATGGTCCCTGAGTCTTTTGAGTATTTTTAGGCAGTCTTCAGGTTCTTGGTGTGTGTCTTTCCCCCATTTCTGCCTACTTGCTACCTTGTGCTTAATCTGTTCTTTCATGTTTCAAAATAGATGGATGCACAACACAACATACATTAATACTATATCATTAATATAACAAATAAACTCATTTGGGTTATAAAATAGAGTTGTAACGACAAGTATAGAGGTTAGGACTTATAACTTTTGTTTTGAAGACCCACAAAAATGACAAACAATATTTTCTTAGGATTTGGGTGTTTTAAAAGAAGATGGAAAGATATCACGTTGTTGAGTAAGTCTGTATAAAACTAAACCCAATGTCATTAAGTCATTTCCTATCTGGAGTGACCCTATATAAGTTCCAGGAGAAAAAGATGTAGAGAATTGCTTAAAAGCCACTCACAACCAAATTCAGGTCTAATTTTATGCCAAAATGTAAATAAACAGAGAAAATGAATATTGAAATTTTGCTTATGGAGAAATGTTGTCTTTTCCAGAACGCTGCAAATGTAAGCCTATTAGAGCTACACAGAAGACATATTTTCGGAACAATTACAACTATGGTAAGCATATATTCATGATAGAACTAGACACTATTAATTAAAAAAAGGTGTGCGTGTATAAAATGACTCAAAAATGAAGAAACAACAGCTTTTAAAAGCATAATCACTTTGCTTGAAACAATTTAAATGTCTCATATGGATAAAATTCCTAATAAATGTTTGCTTTTAAAGCATTTTGAATTAATTGAACTGAGTCAATTCTGACTCGTCATATCTTCTATGTCAAAGAAGAACGATAAGATTTTTTAAAATTTTGTTTTTAATAAAAACTACATTTCCTTGTATAAGTCAGTTGGGCCCGAAGGCTGATTGTATTTGAAGAGAACATTGTTTTATTTGCTACAGCACTTGTCTGTAAGTTTGCTGTACTGAGGTTACGTGGGATTGCTGTGATACTGAAATCTTTGCCACTGGTGTGTCAAATTCCAAAAGAGTTTCCCCGTTGTGGCTGGGTTTTGATGGAGCTCTCGGATTAAGACAGACAAGGGAGCAGGATGGGCCATCTGCTTCCTAAATAAAAGGCTTTTTAAAACCCTATGAACAAACAGTAAACAAAGAAGATAATTATAGTAATGTAGTGGTAGAGCCCAGATTGGAAGTCAGTTGAAATGAATAACAAATATTGTTTATCAATCGATACATGTTGCTAGGAGGTGCTATTCCTTGGAGAGGGACATGATGTTGGGATGGGTGGAGGGTCAGCAAAGGAGAGGAAGACCCTCGACCAGGTGGATTGACACAATAACTACTGCAATTGGCTCTTGTGTATCAGGAAGTGTGAGGATGGTACAGGACAGGGCTGGGCTAAGGTCTTTGGTTGACAGGGTTGCTATAAGTCATACTTGACTCAACAGCACCTAAAAACAACATAACAACAAACTCACGTTGCCTATATATAACACTAATATCCATGTTCAAATTTTAACCTGTACTGTCATGTTCTTTATAGCCAGTTCTCTGCCCCTAAATCCTATACCCAGTGTTACATTTAACTGCCATGTCTCTTCAATTTACTTAATATGAAACAGTCTCAGCTTTCCTTTTTCTTTCATGACCTCAACATTTTTTTAAGAAGACAGTCCAGTTCAGTAGTCTGTCCTTGAATTTGAATTTGTCTTTTTCTTTATATTTAGACTCAGGTCACTGCTATTTTAAGTGAATATACTATATAAATGAGATGTCCTTAATTTACCACATTAGTAGTCATATGATATTGGTAATGTTGACTTAGGTAATTTGATTAAGGGTCAACTAGTGCCTATGAATTTTATTATCTATAAGGTTTTATTCTCCCTTTTAAAGTCACTTGGGCCATAGTCACAGGGGGATATCTGGGTCATTAGTATAACATATTCCACAGGAACAATGTTCTGCAATCTTCTTTGAATAGCAATGAGGGTATTTAAAGCTTGAGAAGGACAATTTATGATGCAATTAGTCATTTCTCTTAATCTGGAGTAAAAGATAGTGAAATACAACTGAAGAAAACAATTAGTCCAAGGACTAGTGGACTACTTCAATCACTGCCTCCACGAACCTGATGTGAGAAGAACTAGATTGTGCCCAGTTACCACTACTGAATGCTCTGGTAAAGATCACAATAGCAGGCTGTGGATAAGAAAGGAAGAAAAAATTGTAGAACAACATTAAAAATAATAAAAAGACACAAAATAATAAGGAGTTACTTTACTGACCTGAAGGCTCTGGTTCAAATGCACCAGCTGCTCTGTGAATGAAAGACAGTCTCTTCCTATATGATTTGCAGCTTCTAAAACCTTGGAGGGTCAGCTATGAGTTGGTTCTGCTTGGTAGAATCCCTGAATTCCTTCTAAGGCTTTAATTGAATCCATCCTAGGGATTAACTCTAAACCAAACAATAGATCAGTTAAATGAAGAATGCCTGGGAGGAACCTACTTCTTAAAACAATTGACTATATGAGGCTGGGGGCTGGGAGGGAAGGCAGCATTTATCCTAAAGCAGAGCTCAGAAAGAAAAAAAATGGGTGAAAAGGACAGACAAATGGAAACAGGAAACTGAGGTAATAAGCAAGAAGATTGTTATTCCAGTTAAGGGGATTGCAACCAATGTCATGAAACAAAATATAAATTATTGAATGAAATTTTAATCTCATTCAAAATACAAGAAAAAGCAATGATCTTCTTCTTAGATCCAGGGGTTGGGGATAAAGTACCCCCACAGGGCTTTAAGTAGCTGATTTTGAGAAATAGATTATGGGTCTTTCTTTGCAATACCTCTAGATCAACTTAAACCTTGAACATTTTGAGTAAATGAACTGTTTGTACCACTCAGAAAAAATTCAGAACATATTTATCAGTATTAACTAACATTTTAGACCCATCCAGTTGAAAATCTGGTGGCCTAGTAGTAAGAAAGCTACAATCCCCATGCATGGTTCAATCCACCAGTTGTTCCATGGGAGAAAAATGAACAAATTCCTCCCTTGTGATTAACTGCCTCTGGAAACTTGCTGGAGGGTCAGCTGTGGTAGGTTGTGACTCCCTGTTATAGATAGCAACATCCAATTAATATTGGATGTAATAATAACTGGATATTGCTCTGGTGATCAAATGGTAAGAAGCTGCACTGCAATCCCAAACACATGCAGTTCTAATCCTCCAGATGCTTCTCGGGAGATGGGAGAAGGGCGAATAATCTCCTCTTGCCATTTACTGCCTCTGAGAACCCACTGGAGGTTCAACTAAGGGTCGTTATGACTCGAAGGCACACAAAAATAATAACATCCAGTTAAACTACACAGAAATGAACTGAAAAATAGGTAAGTCTCTTCTCTGTCTGGAGACTGAAGAGAATTTGAGCTGAACTGTTATTTCAGAGTATGCCCGAAATTGAGGCGAATAGAAGAACACTTTGATGTCTAAGGACGGTTAAATGATTCAAACTTGATTTCTTCAGTCAGTGTATCTACTGGAAAATTTTGACAGAGGTAGGAAGTAACACACAAAAGGAGTTGCTAGCTTTCAATTAACATTTTAACAACAACAACACTAGAAGTGAGATGTTAAATACTATATTGTACAGAAATGTGACATTAAATAAGATGGTGTTAAATAAGACAGTACAGGAAACACCTACCCCAGTACCTGGCACAGGGTCGTTAGGCTTCGCCCCACCCCCACCCAGTTGAGTTTGGTAAATACCATTGCACTGATAGCTTTTCCACTGAGTTTATTAGAAAATCATACTACAAAAACAACACAAGTAATGTGACGACCTAATAAACTCAATTTTCAGTTGAGCTTTTAACTAAGCTTTCTAAAGCCTGGCCTTGCTGGGCCTGTGGGCTTTTAACAAGATCTGGCATCTAGAAGATAGTTCTTTCTTTGGCTACCCAGAATATACTTTTGGGTCCTGGTGTGCTTCTGAGTAGTAACTGTCAATTATTATCATATTAGAAGACTCAGTAAAAAGTTTCCATTTGATAAATATGAAGAAATCATTGTTTACCACATTCTATAGGCATTTGCTTGTGATTTTTTGTTTCTAGCATGTATGAGATTAATAGAAGATTTGTGATGTTGAGTCAATGAACATACATCTATTATTATTTTTTTTAAAACTCTTTCTTTTTTTTAATTTTATTATTTTTGTGTGAGTGTACTGTCAAATCAGATCTGACAGGTACAGGAGGAGACTGCCCCTCCTTCCACGGCAGAGCACCTGGTGGATTTGAACCTTGCGCCTCTGGGATTGTAGTTGCAGCTCCTTGCCACTAGGCCACCAGAGCTCCCCACATCTATTATTTTATATGATAAATGTTGATAGTTGTAGAGGGACTTCAGGCCTTTTGTTCATAGGGTCGCTATGAGCTGTGCTCAACTCGATGGCAATCAACAACAGCATGTACTATTTTAGAGATTGTTGGACATATAAGAGAAGTTTTATTTATACTTTTATGCTTTATAGAAATTGGAAGGAGAGAAATGTGTAAACCTCTGTAAGAGTCCCATCTGATAGTAAATGTTTAAAGGTTTGAAGTAGTAAATTCTCACTATAGTTCAGTTTAAAGTGACGTTTATAATGCACCAAGTTTCCCTTTGATAGTATCATATATATATATAAAATATTCTTTTGTTTTGCTTACTACTTACTCATCTTAAGAATGATCTTCTATCTGTTACCCAGCAATGGTTGCAGCTGCCAAGGTTAGAAGGTTATGTTTACGTAAGAATCCAAACTAACTGCTTATCTGGGGACTTGTTTTTTTACAAGTTGATGAGAAAACTTTTGAGTCTCTTAATTTTAGGAGTTTACTTTTCTAAGAGTGGGTAAATACTTTATTAATTTTAAGTATAGATATACTAGAAATGAAAACACTAATATGAAAAAAATCCTATAAATTTAGTTGAGTTGGTACTGACTTTATGCATCTTTACATGTTAACTTTAACTTTATCCAACTTTATCAATGCTTTAATGGATGGTGCAGGTATATCTGGTAAAAATCAAAATACTAATGGTCACTAGTCATAGAAAAGGAAGATCTTAAGAAAAGTAGCTGAATAAATATGATAAGATATTAGGGAACACATACAGTGGAAAGGAGCAGATAATTTCTTTCTCATGGCCAAGTGATAACCATATTATCCATTGTTGTTGTTATGTGCCATTGAGTTGCCTGCGACTCGATAGAGACCCTACGTACAACAGTGCTATCCTGAGCCGACTTCACCATCTCTGATACATCTACCCCCATTATTCCAGTCATTGAGTCAATCCATCTCATTAAGGTCTTCCCTTCCTGCGCTGTCCAGGATTTTAATTTGTTTAGAGCTTTTGTCTCAGTTGGAAAAGACAAGCAATTAATTAGATAGGGGAAAGAATTGGAAGGGAAAAAGAATGTTTACTTTGAAAAAAAGGCTAATAATTATCTTGTAATATCTGCTTGTGTCTATCAGGAAATCCAAGTATTGGTGTGAGCTACTGATAATTTAAAAAAAAACCCCATACATTTTTAAAAATACTCCAAACCAAAAAAACAACATGCTGTTTCATTCACATGAAGTCAGTCAAAACTCTTGAGCACTCTCAAAATTACTTGGATAATAAAATGACTCTTGTAGAAATGTATTTATCTTGGAGTGGGTACATGTGTTAAAAATTTCTAATGAAAATAGGAGACACATTAGGTAAATAAATCGTTAGTTTGAGAACATTGCCCAGATCTCTAATCTCTAGTATTTGAGGGATGCTATGAACCTCCTTCACTTCAGCCAGGACACAGGAAAGTCCTCGCTGGGACTGTGAATTTATCATTTGATTCTCCCAGATGCCATTTCAAAAGAGCAATCTTATTTTATGTTAAAATACAGTTTATAACAGCAATAGCAAGGGACTGCTTGCCAGCTTCACCCAACAGGGACAGCTGGACAGCTTGCTGCAAGTTCTCAGGCAATTAATTCACTGAAGTCAAAATAAGGTTTTGGCTTGGTTTTCACCCCCAATGCCCCTTTCTTTAACCTTTTATTGTAGTTTGGGTGAAAGTTTACAGAGTACATTAGTTTCTCACTCAGTCATTTACACATACACTGTTTCATCATATTAGTTGCAATCCTCCTCAATGTAACAGTGGTGCTAGAGTTTCTTAGAATTCATTAGTAACTTCATCGCTCTCATTTGTACTATTGGATTATGACTGATTCAATTTCTGATGAAACTGGATAATTTATATCTGGCCTTGTATTTCTATAGGTTGTTTCCCCTCATTCTTTTGTAGTTCTCAAATCCCTAAAGTATGTGGAAAAGAATGAAGATGTAAGTGGTTTGCAGATGAGTGTCTAAGTTTGGAACATAGATTCTTTTACATACCTTTTGTGGATACTGAGTTAGAACAAGTAAGGTGTCTGGGCAAAAAGTCACTGCTTTCTCACTACCGGGCAGTTTCTCTGCATCCAAGGCCTTTTCACAGTCTCTTTTCTTCAATAAAAAGTAAAAACTCATTTGCCTAAAATACAAATCTAAAGAACCTTCCTCTGTCTCAAGGGAAAAATACAGAAAAGATGAAGAAAGGTACTTTGTTAGCTTCTCAGTCAAATACTTTGTCTTTGAAAATAGATTGATTTCTTTTTTAAAGATGTTCTAGCTTCAGAATGAGAAGGTAGCTGAATCATGTGTGATAAATTGGACCCTAGAATATTGACTGAGAGAGTTAGATTAAAAAAAAACTGATGTTTTAGAACATATTCCATAGCATGTGTATGGAAGCAATGTTAGGGTATTAGAGGCTAAAGAAAATAAAGTCTAGTAATAATTTTTATTTATAAATAAAATATATAGAAAGTAATCCATTCTACAACCAAGGAGCAATGTGGCTGCTGTCTGAACAGTGACCTAAGAGCACATTGATATTGGAAAATCAATCTGAGGACATTACAAGAAAGGGAAACTTTATAAAGCGTCACCTCCCCTTCCTCCACACCAGCTCTTTAGAATATATGTTAATAGTCTTGACAAAAGCATACCAAGACAAGGAAACAAATCCTATCTTAGTACTAACTCTTTCTCTGTCGTGAAGTTCGCATAGTTTAAGTTCTTGTAGGCAGCAATTAGAATGAGAGGAAAATTGTATTGGAAAATTCCCTTAACTTTTGATTATTTGTATGTATTTCTTACAATGAAACGCAGGCCACATATGCACATAGACACACAAATGTAAGCACACACACCATTGTAAGGGAGCAAGGCGTCACATATAAGGGAGCAGCGGTGTTGTTCAGTTTGTCAGTCCACCACAATCTAAAGCAATAAGATCTGATGACTTTCTTTCCTTCCATTCGTTGAACATTAGGCAATAGAGAATTGATACCAAAGAGGCCCATGTGTCGTTTTTGTTCTTGAAGGCGCACGCATTTGTTGTGTAGCATTTCAGCTTTATTGTTTATTTGGGTTTTTTATTCCCCCCCTTAGTCATTCGAGCAAAAGTTAAGGAGGTGAAGACAAAGTGCCATGATGTGACAGCTGTGGTTGAAGTGAAGGAGATTTTGAAGGCTTCTCTGGTAAACATCCCAAGAGACACGGTGAACCTTTATACCAGCTCTGGCTGCCTGTGCCCTCCACTTAATGTTAACGAGGAATACATCATTATGGGCTATGAAGATGAGGAGCGCTCCAGGTAATCTACTTCTTAAAGACTCAGACAAACTTTTTGGCAATCTCATTCTGATGGCATTTCCCTTCAGAGCTCTTACTGTTAAGGCTTGTGTACTTGCGAGGGGAACATAGATGAGTTTTCACTTGACCTTGGAATTTTTCATGCTGAACAGTAAAGTTTCTGTATGCATTTTCTGGGAGGTATTTTTTCCCCTTGAGGAGAGGACCCATGATGTTTATTTGATTCTTAGAGTCCATGACCCCTAAAAGGATAAAAATTTCTGTTCTATATTGTTGCTGTCCCAATCCAGATTAGATAGATTAAGTCTTGGCACTGATTCCTTGTATTTACCAGTGATGTGTTCTAACTTTTTATAACTTTTCAAAATTGTTTCTCTACCATATACAGATTGCTCTTGGTAGAAGGTTCCATAGCTGAGAAATGGAAGGATCGACTTGGTAAAAAAGTGAAGGTAAGTTTATATTGTATCTCCCAGGCGATACATACAACCTAGAAAACCAACCACTTGTCATTTAAGTCAGAGAGTTACCCTCAAATACATGGTAAATCTTAAAATGTGAGATAAATATAGCAAAAACTCTAAGAATTGAGTTTGTCTTTGATGTTTATTTTATTTAAGGGACAAATTCCTCACATTGTACATTTAGAGACCTAATTGCCATGGTCTAGTTTGTTCCAGTGAGAAGTGTTGATAAGGAGACTCCAAGTCTCCAGTAGATCTCCTGGCTCCTTCTAGAGCTCTGTACTAGGAATCTGATGAGTATTGTATATGTGCTTACACTTGCCTGGAGTCCACAAGATGGTGGCTCACCTCCTGTGTCCATTTCAGAAGCAATGAAAGAGGAAGGAAAAGTTGTTCCCAGGAACCCCATTACCTTTGGCTTGCATTTCATTGATCTAAACTGGATCTTATATCTATCCTTGTGTTGATACAGTGACCACAGCAATATGCTCAAATGTGTCAGAGATTATGAGGTTGGCACAAGATAGAATAAGGTTCAGACCTGTTGTTCACAGGGTCTCTATGATTTGTATTTGATGGGATCTAACAACAACAAAGACTGCCTGGAGAGGTTAGGATATATAGTTTTAAATTGTGCATAATGCTAAGGGGGAGAAACCTTACCTCAGAGTTAATTCTGATTCCTGGCAACCTCACATGCATCAAAGGAGAAGTGTGCTCCATAGAAGTTTCAGAGAGAGCTCTGTTGGTCTAGTGGATAGAAATGTATGCTACCAAGCCAAAGATGGGTGACTTTAATCTATGGCCCTCAGGGCTGGTTTTAATTGTTTTGGGTCAAACATTCTTCTAGGTCATATAGCACTAGTCTGTCCATTTGCTGTACAGAGGTAACTTGTGGTTGCTGTGATGCTAAACACTGTGACACTGATGTGTCAGATGCGATAATGGATACGCATGGTGGACAGTGTTTGGTGGAGCTCCTTGATTAAAACAAGCTTGGAAGCAGGAGTGGCATCCATTTCTGAAATAGCTTGCCTCCAGAAACTCTATGAACTTGGAGAAACGATGGACAGTGTTCAGGTCTTTTGTTCATAGGGTTGCTATGAGTCGTGTATGACTCAACAGCACTTAACAGCAACAATGTTTTGGAAGCAGATCAGCAAGGCTTTCTTCTGAATTACTTCTGCATGAACTCAACCCTCTAACTTTTTGAGTAGTAGCCAAGTACATTAACAGATTATACAACTCAAGGACTCTGAATCAAAGGAGGAAAGACTATGTAAGGAGTAGGAAACTGTGAATGACTGTCTCAAAATACATAGAAATCAATTCTTGTATATAAGTAGCAACCACATTCATTTGTGTTTAAGTGATCAAACACAATCTGACTCTGAGAGCAATAATGTTTGTCTTTAAGCTAATGACACTTAGATCTGCTGTTAACATATTTTGAAAAATCATGTAGCAAACTATTACAACGGATTATCTTCTTCCTGCCCTAAGTAAATCTATTTCAATGAAAATAATGTGGAGGAGTGTGTAAAAAGGGACAAAGATTCTTAAAGAATATTTGTGAGGGCGAGTGGAATCTGTCCCGAACATAATACATCCTCTCCCCTCTGTGAGCTTGAAGGCTTGGAAAACATTTGCAGGGTGGGTTACGCTCCCTCGGGCAGTTTGTCTTTAACATCTGGCACTTGACACAGCAGACACACTTGGGCTTTAGTGACCTCCAGAAATTTGAGGGGATTTATTTATCGTGGAGAAACCATCCTGCAGCAAGCACTTTAACCCATACCCCCAGTGTTTTTGTCAAAGGTGAGATGAACTCCAAGTTTCGATTTCTAGGAGCTCTATATTTGCATCTTTCCTAAGTAAGTTTGGTGTTTGTTAAAAAAAAAATAATAATGTTTCTCTTCTTCAGTATGTTGGAATCTCTTAACTGTTCTTTTAATTCAGTTTTCTGCTTGCTAATGCAGAACAGGAATTTGTCCTAAATTCCTGTACCAGTTGGAAGAGCTTTCAACATCCCTGCTACAAAGCATGTAACAAGGTGTACTGCTTCTCTTTTGGTACCAAAACAATATAATTTTGTAAAGGCTCCAGGCACGTGCCATGTCTGTCCTGTTTCTTAGTGAGGGAACATATTTCCAGTTGTCTTCTACAGGGAATTTACTGAGGTGATTTTTTGTGAGGTCATTTGTTTTATGTCTGGATTTAACCAGGATAAAGGGAAGAAATGAAACCAACAACTGAAATGAATTTTGTTTGATTGCTAGATACTTCAGGGCTAAAAGGCTTTGGTGGGGAAAAAAAAACCCCTCTTTTGGCTACAATGATTGAGATCCATCCTAACTGTAATGTTCTAGTCAGTTTGAGGATGATGTATGAAAGAGCTTTGGGGAGGATATTAACTTTCTCTATTTTTAATAAGCATCATTCCTGACTACCTTTCTTCCCCCACCCTTTTCTTTGCTCAGTACATCAAAATAATTTTTTTAAACATCGTATATTTCCAGACAAATGGTTATTTCCCTGTCTTTGCAAAGGAAGATTGTTCAAATTGGCCCAAATATTGGGTCCCCTTAAGGAGTTGAACATTGCATAACTGTCTTAGCTATGACAAAGAAAACATTTTAAATCATGCAGGGTGCTAAATGATGAAGCAATCACTTCCAGTAATTAAAAAGAAATCCTGACAATTGTTGATATTTCATGCTAAGCACTTTATACATTTTTATCAATTAATATTTAGAATGGTCTTATAGCTAATGTTAGACGGATCTTGGCAGAAAGCAGAGAATACCAGAAGAATGTTTATCTGTGCCTCATTGACTATGCAAAGGCTTTTGTGTGGATCACAACAAGCTATGGCTGACTCTGAGAGGAATGGGAATCCCAGAACATTTGATTGTGCTATTGCAAAACCTATACTTGGACCAAGAGACAGTCGTCAGAACAGACCAAGGAGACACTATCTGGTTCAAAATCAAGAAGGGGGTCTGTCAGGGATGTATTTTGTCTCCATACCTTTTCGATCTGTACTCAGAACAGATCATCTGAGACGCTGGGCTGTATGAGGAGGAATGTGGCATCAGGATTGGTGGAAGAATCATCAACAACCTGCGTTATGCGGCTGACACAACCCTGCTTGCTGAGGAGGACCTGAGGCGCTTACTGTAGAAGGTCAAGGACTGCAGCCTTCAATATGGATTGAAATTCAACATCTAGAACACAAAGATTCTCACCATGGGGCCAATTGGCAGCATCAGTATGGATGGTGAAGAGATTGAGATAGTTAACAGTTTTAGTTTACTTGGTTCCACAATCAACACTCTTGGTAACAGCAGCCAGGAAATTAAGAGACAAATTGCATTGGGAAAGTCAGCTGTGAGGGACCTCTCAAGAGTACTGAAGAGCAATGACGTCAGGCTGGAGACTTAAGGTGTGCCTGATCTGGGCTATAGTCTTCACAATTAGGTGCTATGCATCAGAGAGCAGGAAAGTGAATAGGGATGATAGAGAATTGATGCCCTTGAGTTGTGGTGCTGGAGAAGAGTGTTGAATATACCATGGACTGAGAGGAGAACAAACAGGTACGTCCTGGAGAAGGTGAAGTCGGAATGCTCCTTGGAGTCAAGGATTCTGAAGCTTCGTCTGACATATTTTGGGCATGTTGCAAGGAGGGACTGGTCCTTGGAGAGGGACATCATGTTTGGCAGAGTGGAGGGGCGGCGCAGGAGAGGAAGACCTTCTATGAGATGCATCGATTCTGTGACTGGAGTGGTGGGAATGAGTGTGTTTGAGATGGGTAGGTTGGCAGAGGATAGAATGGCATTTAGGGCTCTTGTACATAGGTCACTATGAGTCGCAAGCGACTTGATGGCACACAGCAACAACAATTCAGAATGGTCTTAAAACTAGTTTTTTAAGTGATGGAAATGATGACTAGAAATTTCAATAAGCAGTGTTAAATAAAGCCAGAATTTAAACCTGGGCCATCTGATGTTACCTTTTTGCAACTCATGTGTTCTCTGGACAAGCAACATTTGTGTCACCAGAGAATTTGGGATGATAATCTTGGGCTCTAACCAAAAACTGCTGAATCAGAACCTGAGTTACTAGCAATATCTTTTTAGGTGATTTCTGCTAACATTTGAGAATTGCTGTTATAGTTCTTATCCACAGCCTGTACTACTCATAAAATTGTTTCCTTTTAATTTACTGTTTTACACACAATGCTAACATTGTTCCTATGAAATACTGGTAAAGTTGATAGTGCTTGACAATCATTATTGGTAATGTCTTCCTTGTAGAGTTAGAATTAAGGGCAAAACCTTGTCTAATTTGTCTGTTGAACTTGGGAGATGTTACATAGAGAAATATTTTTTAAAATTTTGTTATATTCCCCAAATATCCATTTTTTTAAAAAATCAACACAACAAACTACTCAATTCAGACAAGTTTTCAAAGGCCATGCTTATATTGTATGTGTCTTATCTGAGGGAGATGAAGAATAGCCCTTCCTTTTAATTCTGAGTAAATCCATTTTCTGAGGGGTGGGAGTGAGTGTGTGTGTGTGTGTGTGTGTGTGTGTGTGTGTGTGTGTTTGTGTTTGAGAAGGGTTGTGAGAGACAAGTAGATTCTTGTCTCCCCACTTATAGATGATGAATTTTACGAAAGCATTATTGAACTGTATCTAGTGGATGACCAACTTTGTTTCTTTTGTTATTCTGTGTGTTTGTGTACTGTCAAATCAGATTCAACTGGTACAGGAGGAGATTGCTCCTCTTTCTACAGCAGAGCATCTGGCGAATTAGAACCCCTTGCCTCTGGGATTGCAGTGCAATGTGGGATTGCCACTGGCCACTAGAGCTCCCTTCAACTTTACTTTTTACTTTCTAACTCTTCAGTTTTAAAACTCTTCTTCTAACATCGTTTTAACTGTTGCATGGAGTTATTGATGTTATACTTTTGGAATGAGAGCAAAATGCTTTAGCAATCTGACTTTGTAATCTTATTCAGGTGCAGTAATAGAGGAATAAATGACTCTGGTGATATGTACATGTGACTATCTTCTGTTTTGAATTTCACAGCGTTGGGATATGAAGCTCCGTCATCTTGGACTGAGTAAAAGTGATTCGAGCCACAGCGATTCCACTCAGAGTCAGAAGTCTGGCAGAAACTCTAGCCCTCGGCAAACACGCAATTAATTTTGAAATGCAAGAAAGCATGATCAGTGGACTTCCTATTAAGACTTGTATTGCTGGACTAGCAAAGGAAAATTGCACTATTGCACGTCATATACTATTGTTTACTACAAAAATCATGTGGTAACTTATACTACAACGATTTCCTCTATTTTCTGCTTTTCTCTACCTATCCCCCATCCCTTTTTCATGATCTGCCTGCAGATTCTGAAATAATGTTTCTGTTTCACTAATCATGGGAAAACTGCTCTGTTGCAATAATAGTAATAATAAATTAAATATGTTGATACCAGAGCTTCTTGGCTGGAGTTCCCAGATGTGAACTGACTGCCCTGCACCTAGATTGGGAATGCCATATTGGATGCAGAGAGAGATTTCTGGTAAACACAGAAAACGAGATACACTGTAAAATATACTCTGCTGATTTACAGATTCATTTTCCTCTGCCTTTGGGTATTCTCCTCCTGCCTGGGATGTTTTAAATGTTTATAAAGGTAAAATGGCAGTTTGAAATCAAATGCCACATTGGGGAAGCAATCAAGCACCAGGAAGCATTTATGTATGAGTAAAGGACACACAAGATGATTTATTTGCAAGATTGGCAGGAAGCAAAATAAAGTGTTGGGAGCTGTGGAAAGAATATTTTCCCTGATTGAGAAGCACAAGTGAAACCAGTAGCTGTTGGAACTTTAACAGTAGCATTTCTTGTTTTGTTTTTTTCTTCTTTTAGGCAATACATTTACTTTGTTCATGAATATATTCACCAGTATTAGGGTAATGAATTACAACTGGACATATTGTTATCACAACTGGACATACTGTTATCGTCACAGACCCATTTAATTTGCTTCCCTTTAAACAAACCTATTGCAATGAGTTTTCTTCTGTTTTTTTTATGAATTTGACATGTGCATTAACCAAGAAAAGAAAGTTGGCGTGTATGTACAAGATGACGTTATTTTTAAAAGGAATGCAGCTTGATGAGGTGCCATAGATTGCAGGATGATGAAATGTGCAAGCTTGGTAGTTTTATTTAACATGTGTATGCTTGCATGTGTGTGTCCGTTTGTGTGCATAAGTGTCTGTGCACTCACACCCAAGCTGGACTGAATTCCCAGGCCCACATGCTGGTGCTGGCCTGCACTTTATCTTCTGGATTTGTGCTATTTTATGCTCAGTAAAATATGTCTAGTGAAAGGAATTGTAGTTGTCAGGAGAGTGGTCATATGAACTTTGAACCAAATGCACATTCTCGTTACCCAAAGTGCAGTGTGATCCCAACAACCATGGGAAACAAATGATGCTCTTACTTGCTTCTTTCAGCAGGATTCCTTGGAGCCTGTCCCAACCATCTCAACGTCTCATTCTCTCCAATTCACATGTGTGATAGTAGTAGAAACAAATTTCTAAGCTATGGTATGTTCAGAATAAAACCATTATGATGCAAGATGGCATTGTGTTTCCTTTTACAAGGACGATCATGCAAGGATGAAATGAACTCCTGGGCATGTTTCCTAAAACAGAAATAAGAGTTTATTTTATCATTCTCTTTGGAAATGAGAATTCCCTGTCTTTCTGACTGGCCTCCAGCCTAAACCTTCTTTATTGCTAATTCTGGAAGAAAGAGATCTCCCCTTTGCCACATGGAGACTGCCTAGTCTATTGTGTTTACTAGATAGTGTTTTTCAGATAGTTTGAGCAAATTTTCAGACTGTCAGTCCTTCAGACTTTATTCTCAAATGGGTTTTGCAGGAGCAGCACCCTCTAGATGCTACTATTGTGGCCCTAAAAAAAGATAAATTTAGGGGTCACAAGTAATTATGAATCACCTCGGTGGAAGAACTGTCCTTCAGTATTTCTCACTGTAATTTTTTTTCCTTTTTTAAAATTTTTTTTATTATTATTAATTTCAATGAACACTTACAGAGATTGTGGATTTCCATTCATTCATTGTTGCACTTTTCTCCCCACTCACCCAACCCTCACCCCCAGTTCGCTCTTCTTTAAAAGCAAAGAAAAACTCCTTCACTGGTATACAATCCCCCTGCACCCTCCCATCTCTACCTCCACCCCCACCCCAAGTATACTCCACTCTGCAACCCTCATTCCGGACTCTTATGATAAACACAATGCCCTAAAATATATTATTTTTAAACTGTTCTCTCCCTCATCGGCTTTAATGCAGTATACATAATTTATCCATTTTTTCTCAGACTTAACCCCATCCTGATGTCAGCCTCATTCTACAACAGTGGCACCATGCAGTATTTGTCCTTTTGTGACTGAGATACTTCACTCAGCATAATGTCCTCCAGGGTCACCCATTTTGAATAATATTGCATGAGTTCCTTGTTTTTCAATGCAGCATAGTATTCCATGGTGTGAATATACCACAGCTTCTCTATCCATTCATTTAATGGGCACTTAGGTTGTTTCCAACTCCTTGCTATTGTGAACAAAGCTGCGATAAACATGGGTGTGCATATATCTGCTTGGATGTTGGTTATGGTCTTTTTAAGGTATATTCCCAGTAGTGGAATTGCTGGGTCAAATGGTATCTCTATTTGCAACTTTTTGAGAAAGTGCCATACTGCCTTCCACAGTGGTTGCACCATTTTACACTCCCACCAACAGTGAATAAGTGTTCCAGTTTCTCCACAACCTCGCCAGCATTTGTTTCTTCCCCTGGTAATTTTTAAAAGAAAATTTATTGTTGAGAATATACAGAGTAAAGCATATACAAATCCAGCAGTTTCTACCTGAATAACTCTGTGATGATATTGACTACATTCTTTGAAATGTCCAAACATTCTCATGTTCTTTACTTGTTAAGCTAATACACTATGTGGTATTAAGAAGAATTTAGAGGATGTTTTTGGTTTAAAGTTTATAGTTTAGCAATAGGTTCAGAAGTTCATTAAATCTCCATGACTCCAGAAAGGCTGGATTCCTTGAGCATTTGAAATTGTTTTACATTCCCTGCCCTTTGTAAAGGATACTTTTACAGGGTTTTTGTGTCAAAATATCCTGTAGTGATAGCCAGGTTCTTTGGTCTTGAGGTGAAGAAGGTAATTAGAAGTAGCCAGAAGAACTAGCTGTCCAGAAATGGGGGAACTGGAAGGAAGAATGAGCCACTTCTGGTCTTGTGGTGATTGGGGTGATTGTTCCCTGAGGCGATTAGCTTTATGTTCCTTCTCCTCTTATTCCTGCCTGACTTGGTTTCCTCTGTTTCTCTAAGGTGAATAGAGACTGATTGCTCTGCCTTGGAAGGCTGCTTGTCAGATTTTATGGCCTTAGACACTATGTGATGAAATAGAAGATAGAACAGAAGCACTAACCATGTCATTAGGCCAATTCACTGAGCTATCCCATGTAACCGTGACTCACAACAGAGATCTGCTTCATATCTCTGAACTCGTAACTGAGTTCCAAGGACTGGAAAGCTGTGTGAAACCAGCATGCTTCTTGGAGGCAGGGCTGGCAAAACTCTGTCTCACATACTTTGAGCACTTTATCCGCAGAGGCCAGTCTTGGGGAAGGACGTCATGTTTGGAAAGGTAGAGGGTCAGCACAAAAGAGGAAGATCCTTGACTAGACCAATTGACACAATAACTGTTGCAATGGTGTCAAGTGTGTAGGAAATGGTGAGGTTGGGTCAGGAAAGGGCAAGGTTCAGAGCCATTGTTCATAGGGTTGCTGTGAGTCATAGGTGATTTGACAGCACGTAACACCACACACACACACCCTCTGGGAATAAGGGCAAGAACTGACTGCCTAACATTTAAGGGGATTAGTATCTGTAACACACAAAATGCCAACCACTCTTTCAAAACATACCTGTTATCATCAAGGAGATTCCAACAAACAGCCATCCTGTATGAGTGCTTCATAGTTTTACCGAGGTGATATTTTCTTTAAATTATGTAATTACATATTTTCATTCATATACATTGTGTATCATGTATGTACATTGTGCTTCATATGATATTTACATGGAATTATGTTCATGTATATTACATGTTTTTTAACCCCTTACAGTCCTCTTAATGACTATATTTGTGCACGTGTGTAAGCCAGCTATTTCATGTCTCATGCCTTAATACCTCCATTTTAGATAGCCAGTTCTGATTTGCCCATCCCTAACAAACCAGTACTTTGGAGAACAAGCATGTCCCTTTTGCTGGAGAATCTTCTGTTTAATTTTGAAACTTTGAGCATCTGCCCCCACAAGTAAAGCTCAGTCCAGAGCAAGTCATCAGGGTGCAGCAATTAACACTAGCTCACAGTATGCATCGTCTTTTCTCCCTTTGGTTGGGTGCTGGGCAATTCATTCAGCCATCTGCAGCTAGGTTCAAATGTCATCAACCACCACACAGAAGTCCACACTTCTCCCTATATTCCAGACCTGGTGGGCTCTTCCTCAGAATTAGACCCAGTGTGGGTCAAGCCAGTAAGCCAGGGGCCTCATTACTCCTTGCAATTATACCTCAAGCAAGGTGGGAATTTTTATGAGAATAGACTGCTATCTTTCTCCCAAAGAGTAAGAACCACTATAAATGATGAAATATCTTGGTGTACAATGAAAGCTACAGATGCTTCCAGCTCCTGAACTTTTTGGTTTCTGTACATTTAGTGTCTCTGAAAAGGTCTGACACAATTTATATTCAAAAAGTCTATCACTTTAACCTTTATAAACCAAGGATAACCAGATTGTTAGATACTGCAATGTTTTGACCACACTCCATTTCAATGATTTAAACTGACTGTGTTTGGCTGTGCTCATTGCTATTAGGTTTCTGACAGATACATTTAAATTTACTTATGATATAAATTTCATGAGTAAAAACACTTTTGTTTGCCAGTTTGATAGGTGGGATATTTTGCATTAATAAATTATATATTGAAGAATGACATGACTTTATGATGACGGTCACGTCTCTAATCAGACTGCAAAGATGTTCCAATTCTGTAGCAGCTGTAACACAAAATACAGCTCATTAGTGTCTTTACAAAATGTGCTGGCAGGTCCTTACTGTCAAAGCAATTAAAATTTTAATATACAGACATCCTTGGAGGCAACCTTGATATCTACGAAATTAAAAATTGAGGAAACACTGTATTTACCCAAGATTTCCATTTTCTTAGCCAAAAAGAAAAGTATCAGATGTGTATTGACTCATCTGACAAAAAGTAAAATAGGAGCAAACTTGGGCTGTCTTATTCATGGATACATATTTCACTGTGTCACATGGAGAGTGTAATCTGATTCGGTGCCATATGTTGCAC